CTTGTTGAGCCTCCACAACTATTTCATTCTAAGAGCTTTACTCTGAATCTTCAAGTTCTTAATCCCTAGTCCTCCAAGGTTCTTGCCAAAAGTGAGTGCTTTCTATTTCACCAAGTAGTAGCCCTTCCTTTCTTTGTTCCATTCCATAAAAACTTCCTCCCGATGCTATCCAACCTATTGATGGCCCCTGTTGGAATGGGGAACAAGGACATCATATATGTTGGAAGTGCATCAAGAACTAAGTTGATAAGAGTCACTCTGCCACCTAAAGATAGATACTAGGTTTTCCACCTGGCTAGTTTCTTTTCACACTTCTCTATAACATTGTTCCAAATCCCAATTGACTTACATTTAGCTCCCAAAGGCATTCCAAGGTATATTGTTGGTAAAGCCCCTACTTCACCACCCAGAACAACAGCTAACATATCCATGTTTGTGACCTCATTGATAGGGTAAAGAAAACTCTTCCTCTAGTTGATATGCAAAGCAGAGATTCCTTCAAAAAGAACTAGAATCACCCGGAGGTATTTCAGTTGATCTTCTTTAGCATCACAGAATATGAGGGTATCATCAGCACATTGTAAATGAGTCACTTCGAAACTATCATTGCCCCTTCTAGCTACATCAAAACCTTTTATCCACCCATACTAATTGGATGTTTTAATCATATTGTTAAGACCTTCCATAGCAATCACAAAAGTAAAGGTGATAAAGGATCACCTTGCCTTAGTTCACTTTCTGCTTTGGAAAAAACCTGTTGGGGAACCATTTATAAGAACTGAAAATCTTGCTGTTGACATGCAAAATTTAATCCAATTTATCCATTTCTGGCCAAAACTCATTCTTTCTAGCAGGTTCAGGAGGAAATTCCAATTGACATGATCATAAGCCTTTTCAATATCAAGTTTGCACAAGATACCAGGTTTCTTTTGTTTCAACCTAGAATCAACTGTTTCATTGGCTAGCATTACATCATTAATGATATGTCTACCTTTAATGAAAGCCATTTGTTGATAGTTCACCAATTGTGAAATTACCCTTTTAAGTCTCTTTGCCAAAACTTTAGAAAACAATTTGTAAATGCTACCTATCAAGCTGATAGGCCTGAAATCCCTTAGTTCCTTAGCACCTTTCTTATTTGGGATGAGAGCAATAAATGTTGCATTGAAACTTCTTTCAAAAACTTCTTTGTCATAAAAGTTTTGAAAAGCATTCATGATGTCATATTTCACCATCTCCCAGCATTTGATGAAGAACCCCGTAGTAAAACCATCTAGGCCAGGAGCTTTATTTATTGCACATAGCTTTAAGCACCTTAGCACTTCATTCTCATCAAAGTTTCCATGTAGAGCTTCCTTATCATCCTCGATTAAAATTGGGCAATTGTCATAGTGGCATGCAGGTCTCCATTGAGTAGTTTCTTTGTACAAACTTATGATCGTAATCAATAATTTCCTCTTCTATTCTAGCTGGATCCTTTGTTAATTCTCCATGTATCATCAGTTGGTCAATATTGTTAAATCTTTTATGTGCATTTACTACTTTGTGAAAAAACTTAGTGTTCCTGTCACCTTCTTTCAACCATAATGCCCTAAATTTTTGTCTCCATGAGATTTTCTCATTTTTTTTATCAACACCTCAAACTCCATGAATAGTGCAACCTTCTTGATAGTTTCTTCCTCTGTTAAAATTTTGTCTCCAAGCACCTCATCCAAGTCTGCCATTTGATTTAACAATTTCTTCATTTGATATCCCAAATTCCCCTGTTTCACTTCTTCTCCACTCCTTGAGTTTTGACTTGAGAGCTTTTAATTCACAGGCCAATATAAAGTCGGGCTTGCCTGAAAAATTGAAAGAAATCCACCATTCTTTGACTCTTTCATTGAAACCAGTTGTTCCTAGCCACCAATTCTCAAATTTAAAATAGTTTTTGTTCATGTTCCAAGTGCCTCCCCCCTCCC